TTACCTGTCTATTTAAAATAAGACTGAACTTTCCCTTCATCCTATTATATATATAGTATAGCATAGCAAAGCGTAGTTCATAACATGTATTCTTTAACATGTATTTTTTATAGTCTACAAATACTTAAATAAAATTTCATACAACACAATCTGAAGAATATTTTGTTCACGAACTATTGTCATTATTGTAAATGTTGAGATATATAAGTAATAGTTGGTGATGCTAATCATCATGTAACAGCTGCCGGTTAGAACTGTTTGAAATTTTTGCATTTAGATATTCTTTTATCGCAAAGAGTGAAGTGAACTTTTTGTACAGCGATGGCATTACATTTTGCAACTCTGTGTCTATAAAAACTAATTTAAAAAAAAAAAAAAAACTATGCTATTTTATGGGCTAAGCACAACAATCACGTCATCGCTAAATGATTAAACACCTTCCGCCGTTCAGAAAAAATTGTCTACAAAAAGCACCTCGACATTTAGCTGAGATTAAAAAACTGTGGCACACCGAACTAGTATATTTGAATGTCTACTGGACTTGAGCCATTTCTTGACTCCTCGATAACAAGTGCAGGAAAATGAACAGTCTACGTTAACTTCGTGAGTATAAATCGTATTCGAAGTAATGGAAATCCCTTGATTTATAACAAAGTTGGTATTAAAGTTCGAACAGTTCATGTTAAAGGTTTGCTGCGGACAGGGTAAGACTTTTCCTATTGCTAGCTACTGTCGTCTAGCAAGATGTAAGATTTCCATCTGTACTGTTAACAGTTAGACCGGTAATAAACACAAATCTGAAAGCAACGGTCGGTAGCTGTCGTGCCATAAAAGTTAGTACGTACGTCGGTCTGTTAGAAATTAAGAGAGCTGGACTGCGGACTAAACTTGATACCTTTTGCTAAAATTTACTTTTATTCCCTCGATGAATACTTAAATATGGATCTGCGAACACCACTTAGATTAGCTACAGCTGGACAGTTATAGAGACACATCTATCTTTAAGGAGAACGATATTTCTAATTTAATTTCCGAAAACTCAGAACTTTTCACACAACCTGTTGATAAGTCTCCAAACCAACTAGTTGGAATTATATGGTACTTGAGTTCCATTTTATGCCTGCCTACACTTACGTTATCAGAATGTGGAAAGTTTCACCCACGTTTGTTTAATGAAACTTTTATCTAAAATATCATTTTTGTGAAGGCAATAGATGCAGCCTTTCTGCATGCACTTAATTTATATGCATGTGTAAAGGGAATGCTATTTAAAATGCAAGCTTACTTGTTTCTTTTTTTACTATTATTATTTAATTTTACTTTCAATGTCAGTGAAGGTAGCAAACAAACTTCATAAATAAAGTATAAAATTTTATTGTAAATTTATCTGAATACCTTAAGCCACATTGACCTTTCACATGCATTTTTTGACAGAGAGATTATACGCGAAGTTGTCAATCGTCGCATTAGAGGTACACAAATATAGATCCACACGCAGCCAAATACAAATTTATTTCAAATATGAGCCGATAGGTTTTTAGGCAAGATGGACAGATAAAAGTTGGAATGGTGGTTGCCGCTAATGTGTTCAAAAAACAAAGAAAGAATTGCGGAGTGTCAAAGCAGGTTTACATGTAATGCTTGAAAGGTGCCAGATACTTTTATGTATAAACATTTATATGTGCATGTCTGTGTGTATGTGTATATGCTTGAACCCCCTTCTACATCAAAAAGCTCTACACATAATTTTCTTAAATTGTTGAGCGTCGCATTCGGAAGTATGTCAAAGGCCAGCAGTTTATCAACATATTTGTCGTTCCCCTCCCCCACCATTTAAGTGCAAGAGGCATTGTCGTTGACGAATTGAATGTGCAAAATCCTATGTTCGTTAGTAATATCATTTTGTCATCTACAGATAATTCTGTCAAACAATTATCACGATGATTTTACACCTAATTTAGGTAGGAACTGCATGACACCAAAAAAAACAAAAAAATATATATATATATATATATATGTATATATATATATGTATATATATATGCATATTAGGTATGCGCTTATAGGCATTTCATTTTATATTTGCGTATGTTTGCGACAACTGTATTTTGCAATTCTTCTACACATTTACACTTTTCTTAAGTATGAACAGAAAATTGTTTGAAGGTTATTAAGCACATATTAATAAATATTACAGTAGTCATTAAGACGTCAGTGCACATTATTTCGAATGGCCTGTCTATCATCAGGGAATGTAGAGTTTTTTTTTTTAACTACAATCGAAAATAAATTGACTTCACGTTCGAAGAGAAAGGGTAAACGGGGATGATAGATTATTGAATAAGATTTCAAGTGCTCCATCTTAAAGCCTTTGGGGCTATAAATAAGTCTAGTTACGCCTCAGTTTGCGTTGAAGATGATGCTCAAGCGAAATGGCGCAGTTCGACCAATTGTATTAATTTCTATACCAAATTTTAGATAGCTCCGATAAATTACTGTATCAATTATTGATTCGATATCGGCTATAGTTTTGTGTTTTTCGATATTTTGGGCAAGTTTTCAGTTTCGTTATATGAGCACCGACTAATCTCTTAATATCGTGGACTTTGTCATAATTGTTAACAAATAAGCCGCCGATCAGGCGAATAAAGTAATGTAAAAAAAAGTCATATTCCGAATATATTATGATATGAGGTCTCTGGCGCTTGTTATTGCAATCGTTCCAGGAAAGTGAAATTTGCTTATACCTTGCCAGGTTGCAATTTGTAGAAATTCATAAAAGAATTTTTTTTTTTTTTTTTTTGCTCATATGCAAAAGTTTCGATCAGAAAGTTTCATAAGGTGCGTTAATATTATATGATTGCAGATATATTAACATTGACTTTGGTTTATATAAACGCCAAGATAAGAAAGCGAGCAAAGAAAGACAATCCGTGTTCGCGTGACTTCAAAATGCGAACGCAAATCCATTCAGAGTGGCAAAAATGAATTGAAACGGAATGTAAAAACCTCTCAAGCTTCCGACGTATCGTTCGGAATAAAAGTACTTGCAAATATTAGTAGCAATAACTTGGTTAATAAAATAAACATTACGGCATAAGACTGAGAAGAATTACGAAAATTACCTTGAATTTTACTTTTAAATAGGATCCGTTGGTTCGACCATAACTTTCGACGAAATATTACTGATGAACTAATTTATCAGCTATCTTTTTGAAACTTACAAAAATGACTGATTAGAATGGGACATGTGTTCTACCTCTTTCACTTTGGTGTACAACATTGTATTGGCCGTATAGAGAGTTTGTTGGGAAACATATAATCTGAAGTAAATTCTTTCTTCGGCGCTTCTATCGATGATCAAAATGAAAACAATCGATCTCCTCATCTTATTCGCTACACCTAAACATTATTCATCTGTAGATGATAAAAGATACTATACAATTATTACGCGTCACACCGCTTGTGGTATAAGGGCAAGTTAAATTTGCCCAGAAGCACTTGAGATAGACCCACCTTTTATTATAGCGATCGATTCAAAAGGCTATTTTAAGCTTATCTGTCCGTTTTATATTGTTGTGTTCAATCTATAGGCCGTAAATTTTGAGATATTTTGATATAATTGAATATACCGATCAAGTACTATTGGATAGGATATTGAAAATGCGTCAGATCGGGCCACTTCTTCAACCAGTTTTCATATATTAGTTTATTGTGAAAAGTCTTTATGTGAATAACCGTATTGGGCAAAGTCGTGTAGGGTCCTTAATGTTGTGGCGCTATAATGTTTTTACTTAATGTTTAATGTTATATATAAAAAGCGCAATAGGATTTCAGCCGAACGTGTTCTCAATCTTGTTTGGCATTCACTTTTCTTTTTATTCTCCAAAAGTCTTACTGATGTCCAGCTGTCTTAATTGCAAAGAAAATGTTTATCGTTAACCAAGCAATTAAATTTTCGGGAGCCTTAGAATATAGTCAAACGAAGGATTTCAGTGTCTATTGTCAGTAATTTAAACCAGGTTGCAGCAGCGAATCAAAAAAAAACAGGTCACAGTTTCAAAACCGTCAGTATAGGCCATCGTGATAATGCTCGAACCACACACATCTTTGATGACTCGGAAAAAATTGGAAGACTTTGATTTTGAAACTTTGAAGCATTCGACTACTATTCGCATCGTCATCGCCTGAAGTCTCTCATTAGTATAAAGGTCACTTTAAAAGAAGTCTGTACAAATCACTTGCCTTACTTTCTTTGGTTCAGAAATTCTAGATATTCTATGATGACGGTTTTATCACAAAAATGCAAAAGGTCATAGATAATAATGATCATTATAGACTTGAATAAAATTCATTTTTAATAAAAGAAAAATTGAATAAAAATGTGATGAAAATACTGTGAATGGGTTTTGCTCGAGTCGATACGTATAAAAAGTGTCTGATTGCAGGTCATTTAAAACTGCCATCACTTCATTGAGAATGATCTTTAATTCAGTAGGGTTCGTCCTTGAGTTGAGTATCAAAATTCATGGACATTTTAGACAGGGAGATAGGTTTAAATCGATTTAGAGAATGATTGAAATCATTTCAAGCAATTATGGATGTTGCATACATCCGTGTAATCTTAACACGCCTTTATCACGAGTGGGTATAATAAGCCTAGCGATAATTCTGAACATTATCTATGCAACTGATAGATTATTTTTTTACTAATCGAGCATGATATCTGTAAATGTCTTCTAAAATGAACGCAGTTAGATAACATGCATTGCTTATGGTTTAAATTTAATATTAAAAATTTATATTTATCATAGAAAAAATAGTAAGTCTTGTACTTTTTCTATTTACGCAACGATCATATCGAATCCATAGACGTTTTTGTTAATAATAAAAATTAACTCAACTTAGTTGCAAATTTTCATTTTTCAATTGCTTCCTAAAACTTCTATTATCAGTTTCTTTTTCTTCTTTTTCTTCTTTTTCTTTTTTAATATTTGCAGATTGTTTCAGAATGTGAAATTCTGCGAGCGCAAGAAATTAAAGAAGACATTGAAAGTCGACAAACACATCAGCAGAACATCTTACAACGCTTCAAAAGTATATCGAGCGGCAATCTAATAGATATTCCTGTTGAAGATGATAAGAAAACGATTGCTGAACGCATGCGCAATAAATGTAAGGTTAAATTGTAGAATTTTATTTTTTTTACTTTCAGTCAAAAGTCAAATTTTATCGTTTTGTCTTCACGAGTGGCCGAGTCGACGAAGGATTTCGACTAAGAACTCAATGATGATGAGTGTGGTAGAGTTTTCACTAAAGTCGAAAGACTTCGCTTTTTTTTTTTTTTTTTTTTTTTTAACGACGGACGAGACAGGAGACGTCCCCTCGTGCCATAACGCGAATTAAGTTTTTTCTGGCTAAATTATAATAACATTGTCAAAATTACCAAGTAGGAGAATTATATATGGGTGTGGCAGAATTTTTTCTACGTAGCACTGCGATCGTAACAAAGGGCAAAACAACTAAATTTTTATATGTTATAACATTGAATAGGCGCGGGTAAAATTTTCTATAAAGTGAAAATTTATATAGTGTGTGTGTGTTGTATGTTATGAGTAACAAGCAAAAAATACGGAGAGATGTTCAATTTTCCTGCTACATGGACGTGCGGTCGTTGTCAGGCGTGTCTTTTGAAAAGTTTGGCTAATTTTCAAATTGTTTTGCGGCGTTTATAGGTGTTAGTTTCACTTTTGCGACACAGACATGGTTAGGTGCATTCGGAATTTGAAACTGGCCAAGAATTTATGTAATTTATCGGGCTTTTGAATATTTCTTTTGTGCGTTATAAAAGTTTCGAAAGAAAAAAATGAAGTTATGACGCGCAAGAAAAGTCAAAGGGCATGGCCGATTTTTTGGTAAAAGCACTAGAGCGTCGCTCATAGAATATATGGTTTCAAGTTTCGTAGATTTATCTGCTTATAAAAAAAAGAAATGTCTTGAGTTTACATAGTACTGTAGGCGTCACTTTCAACCGTTTTAGCCCAACTTGCGTACAAGAACCTCCAATGTTACTGCCAAATTTGAAATCAGTAGCATCATTTTTGCGGCCAGGAGAATGTTTACAACAGAGATTGAAACAGATACACAGACCGCCAGACGGACAAGTGGACGGACAAGTGGACATGCTTAAATCGATTCAGAATTTGAAGCTGATCAAGAACATAACAGACTTTGCGTGGTTTCTGAAGTTTCCGTTCGGGCGTTGCAAGCGTAAATGAATATACCTTCGGTGATGGCTATGATAAATGATTGTTGGTATTGTTGGTACTTTCAAAAGTTCTGCTAGTTGGGTAAACTAAGTGCTGTAAAATGAAAATTTATCTGAGAGGTGAATAATCAGAGTCACCTATGTGCAATAACGCGAATGAATACACGGTAGTGTGCAAACGATTTACTTTCAAGATGTTAAAGCAGTGTAACTACATTCATTAAGTATTGGGGTTAATTCATTGTTCGGCGATAAGGAAACTAAGTTTATCGATTCGCAATTATGTGTGAAACTTGCTTTGTACCATTACCTCACTGAACTGCTTCAATAGCTCAATTTAGCTCTGAATTGACCGAAAAGGTTGGCATATTCACATTCCATTCCTGTTACGGTATATGACATTTTGTAAATAGTTATGAGGAAACGCATAAGAGAAAATCTATTGAAGATTAGTATAACTGCATTGTGACGACTCAATTCACGCAGTTTAGGTGTTGGCTTAAATAAACGAGTTATTTCCCTCTTATATTCGATATACATATATTTTTTTCTTGAAAGAAAAAGAGATCGGTTAACGGATCGGCTAACGAAAGCTTGGAAGTTGAGAGTTTTCAAAGAGGGCACAGAAACTTAATGTAGAGAATAATGAAACGACTGATACATTATAGACCAACTTTGGGTGAAGTCGCTTCTAATGTTCATTTGTCAAAAATATGCTTCAGCTTCACTATCACTTTCAACTGACATCTTCTTAATGACTTCTTCTTAATGATCCATCAGTCAATGCATGCTTCAATGTTGATTAAAATACGCCTTGGATTTGCTTATCTATGATGTGTCAGTGCAATCATTATCATTCATGAGAAGAAAATTTTCTTTATCTCGTGACAGGAGATAGTGACAGACAGACAGACAGACAGACAGAGAGAGAGAGAGAGAGAGAGAGAGAGAGAGAGAGAGAGAGAGAGAGAGAGAGAGAGAGAGAGAGAGAGAGAGAGAGAGAGA